TATGATATTTCAAAGTATCATGAGTTTTGCTTGGATACATAAAAAGCTAGAGCACTTTTAGTGGCTCTATTTCGCATTCCGCCATATTAACTCCTATAAAATTTCCTCTGGTTTGGTTGCTTTCAACATGGCGGCCACGCCGGAAGTCGGCTGACATTCTGGCACACTTTTTACCCTTGAGTGAACCTTCTGCTCTATATCTATTCTGTGATCAGGCGGTGGTCGCACTACGACCGCAATGCATCATGCGCAAATAAAAAATTCGCTTAGTCGTGCCACAGATGAGGTAATACAGATGTGAATCTCCTGTGAAAATGTGTCACACGGATTAAATAAACTTTAAAATTGTATTAATTCACTATTTTATTAAATTTTGATAATGCAGAGGAATAAAACTATACATATTATAGAAGTATTCATGTTTTTTTTATGCGAGAGTTATGTTTTGAGGCATTTATATCATTCGGTGTTTTGTTATTTATACACAAGCATCTGAAATTCCCAGCAAGTGTATTTCGCGATTTTAATAAGAAGTAGATAGGGAAAAAAACAAACTTTTGCTAAATAAAATGTTATATTAACACTTTTAATAAAAAGAAATCAATAAAAGTGATCGCTTACCGTTACTCTTGAAGAATTAATTTCAAAAATAGCCGTCGGTAGCGTAGACTTTTAAAAAAAACAATTTTTCGTCTTTCGAACGGCGTTTTCCTATCTCTTTCCTTATTAAATTTCAGAACGACACTTGCCAGCGCTCGCCGGAAGTGAGAATTCCGTGTGACACAAAACAATCAGCAATTTCACAGGAGATTCACATCTGTACTTACCTCATCTGTGGTCGTGCCACAGATGAGGTAGATACAGATGTGAATCTTCCGTCAAATTATGTCACACCGATTAAATAAACTTTAAAATTGTATTAATTCACTATTTTATTAAATTTTGATAAAGCAGAGAAATAAAACTATACATATTATAGAAGTATTCATGTTTTTTTATGCCAGAGTCATGTTTTGAGGAATTTATATCATTCGCTGTTTTGTTATTATACATGAGCATCTGAAATTCCCAGCAAGTGTATTTCACGATTTTAATAAGAAGTAGATAGGGAAAAAAACAAACTTTTGCTAAATAAAATGTTATATTAACACTTTTAATAAAAAGAAATAAATAAAAGTGATCGCTTACCGTTACTCTTGAAGAATTAATTCCAAAAATAGCCGTCGGTAGCGTATATTTTTAAAAAAAACAATTTTTCGTCTTTCGAACGGCGTTTTCCTATCTCTTTCCGTATTAAATTTCAGAACGACACTTGCCAGCGCTCGCCGGAAGTGAGAATTCCGTGTGACACAAAACAATCAGCAATTTGACGGAAGATTCACATCTGTATCTACCTCATCTGTGGTCGTGCTGCAGGCGCGGAGGTGAAAGGTTGTCTGTCAGTCGAAACATACTGTAGTCGAAACAATGGGAATAAAAACTCTTTTGCCGTTTGTAAAAGAAGCTACCACCAGGGTAAATATAAAAGACTTTGCTGGCCAGGTTTGTGCAGTCGATGTGTCGTGTTGGCTTCACAAAGCGTTGGCTGTAAGCTACAAGGAGTTTGGCGATGATCGCAGGTTTGTATTTTATTATTTACTGTAATAAATACAGTTTAATTTCTGCATTATTCAGTCGCCAAATTTGTATATTTACCGTATATGCGCAATCTGCTTACAACTGTATTGTTATTGTAATTACTGTATGCAAATTTTTAAGGGTTATTGACATATGTGAGTCTTTCCTGAGAGTCTTGATAGCAAACGACGTGAAGCCATATTTTGTATTTGATGGCTTGCCTCTTCCCGCCAAGCAAAGAGAAAACGAAGAGCGTACCAGGCAAGAATATTACTCATACCATTTACATTGCTTAAATTATACTTGTAGATGAAATATGACTGTACGAGCTCTTCACTTCTTGGATAAAATGTGCCTAAATATTTTGGATGTATTTTTTCTATAGACAGAGGAGCAAATATCGTGAAAATGCCACCTATTTCACAATACTAGGCGATGAAATTGCTGCATGCAAAGAAAGCCTTGGCAAGAGCTGCCGAAAATTAATTGTGGTGTGTCACAAGCTTTCCCCACCCTGGGAGCCCCGGCTGGGGGGGGGGTGTGACCATGCAGACAACCAGGTATGGAAGTGACTTTGAAAATAATATAGCTTGTGGGATGGGATATAGTGTGGCATTTTAAATAAGTTTTTGCAAATACCCCACTATTACCATTTACCTGTGGTCCGCAGGGAGGGGGAAAGACGATGAAACATGCATTAAAATGGGAGATATGATACCGGCAGATGGTTGTGTTACTGCAACTGTCAATGCCAGTTAATTGGATAACATATACATAGTCCATTTTGACATTTAGATTTGTTGTGAAAGAGACATTCCCTATATAATGGCACCATATGAAGCAGATGCCCAGATTACCTTCCTTGTAAATAAAGGATATGCTGATTTTACTGTATCTGAAGACTCAGATTTGCTTGCATATCAGTGCAAAAAGGTATATGTGTATTTTTAACAATTTGCCATAATAAAAAGAAATGATGGCATGTTGATCTACCTACAATCCCAGGCCTGCTACAATCCTTTGCGGGCAGCAAGCATAAATCCACAAAAGAGTGACGAGAAAAACAGGCAATGACATGAAACTTAAACCGATAAGTATAACTGACATCTTGTCTATTGTGTGTTATTTAAAAAACATTTGACTGTTGTTTTAACATTTCCGACTGCAATGCTCTGTGGGTAAATCGACAGCCGCCATCTTTTTTATTACGGCGGATTAGATTACAAGCTTGAGATTTCTATATCAGGCGATAGTTACAGTACTATCACATCATAGAAATCGAGAGTGAATAATCTTTTTTTTTTGTTAAAAAAAACAGTAAGAAAACAACATTTCAAAACGTTTTTACTATTTTACTTGTGATAAACTGGCAAAAAAATATGACGAAGAGATGGGTTTTCACTACTCACTATCTATCAACAATGCAGCATTTGCATTAGGACCCAACTAACTTTTTACTAAATATATATAGAATACAGTTTTTTTTATAGTGCTGGATAACGGATTCATCACTGGGGAGAACCAGATTTAATTTTTTGCACATGAATAATAGACCTTTTCAAGCTTGTAGAATAAATTATTTATGATATTTCAGGTACTGTTTAAGCTAGAAACAAATGGGACAGGTGACTTTGTGGAGCTGGAAAAAGTCTAGAAACATTTAAACCTAAATGCAGATAAGTTCACTGACATGTGCATTGCTGCTGGCTGTGACTACCTTGATAATATTCGAGGCATTGGAATTAACAAGGCCAAGAAAATTGTTTCTGAGAACGAAACATATCTAAATGTATTGCAGACCTTGAAGTTTGCTCCAGCTGCCTACAGCAAATGCTTTGAACAAGCTCGGATGGTTTTCCATTTTCAAACAGTCATTGATCCAAGCATATGTGAGACTGTCCCATTAACTAATGGTGACACTATTGTAGCATAAAATATGAATTTATTCTCATGAACTTCTGTTTTTCTGGTAGAGTCTTTATCCTTAACAACAGTATTTAGCTTATTATCTAAGCCATTTGTCTTAGACTTGGCTGCTGGAAATATCAATCCCATGTTTACAGATATTGTAATAATTGCTTTCGAAGACGTTCTGACATTGTATTTTGAAAAGAAGATATGAAGTTTTGAACTGTATTTCCCAAGGATACCTTAGCTGCTTTCTGGGGGTGAACAGCTAAAAATTGGTGATAAACATTAATTTATTTCACTGGTGGTCTGCTTTGCTGGGGTTGAATTGGAAACAAAGTCTTTGGAATTGGTTGCACTGGTAACATAATCAATATTATAGAATTCCTCTGCATCAGACAATGTTGCAAACTTCTTAACCAAAAATTTTGTGACTTTAGTCCTACATGATGAGCCTACAAAAAAATTTAATTCATTGTTACCAACTTCGTATTTACTAATTTAGGTATGAAAATATTAGGTATGTAAAGTCAGTTGAAAATGACTGTAAAGATACCAAACAATTATACTGTTGCATTTATTTTATGGAACCTATTGAAGATTCCATAGTTGTTATAAACTGCACATTGGGCACCTGTTGGCTGTTGCCAGAAGGGCTATTGTTGTGCTTTTTTCCAACTGCTCCAGCCGACATTTATGTCTGGCATTCGGTCGTTCCAGAAAAGATCCTAACTCCCCCCAAGGAGGAAATTTCTGCCGTCCGGAGGGGGAGGGGAGGAAATATTGTTTCTGATAATAGTAAATGTATTACGACATCTGAAGGGGGTAGGGAGTTAACTTCCTATTTCCTCCGTGGGGGAGGTATGGATGTTTTCTGGAATGACCCATTAATGTGTTAATGATTTTTTCTGGAAATTGCAAACTCCAAAAATCTTCAACATCAAATTCTTTTGAACAAAATACACCAAAAGTGAAAATCTTTTCCACTGTTAACTGTACAGAAACCTGCAATATACCATCTACACAGCTAATGCAAATACAAACTACAACTGTTACAATAGATTTTAGAAATTAATATATGCAACTGGAGATTGAAATAACCAACCTGTTCGAGAAGTACTACACATTTTATTGACAGATACCGCACATTCATTCCAAAATTTCATGTTTTTTGTTTTTGGCCATTTATCAGTGTGTGCATCATCCCAATACAAGCATATGTGCTGAACCAATGCAGCCAATTCTGCAGTCACCCAAACAGTACCATTGACAAATTTTTGGCCATCTCCCTGAATCATGTTATTATCAAACAATGACTTTTTCACTGTGTTGCCTTTCCCGTTTCTCTTTCTCTTTGTCTTTTTTTTTCCCAGGCGTATTCCCCTCTGGAATGCATGACCGCTTTCCCAACATGGCAGTAGAACTTGACAGATCTTCGCAGAAAGACCTAAAATCAGCACAGAAAATAGCATGAAATGAATGTCCCCAAAAGGTACAAATTCAAGGGGCGCTAGAGGGCGCGATCATATAAAGGACACGAATAATTATCGTAGATCACATAAAGTAGAAACTCGAACCTGGTTCATGCACAGTTAACCTGCTATATGCAAATATAAAGACACCTTTGAAATCGGGCAAAATAAAAGGGTTTGAAATGACATGATATTTTTGATAGAATTCCAAACGTTGTCGATTTAAATAGTACGAAGAGATAACGTTCTGATGTGTAGCTTTCTTTTTAGTCAGAATTGCAAAGTAAAAACTCTGAATAGAAATAGAAAATCAATTCAAAACTTACCTGTCTTTCTCTTCCGAATCCGCCATCTTGAAGAAAACCAAAAAATAATGCATTGCGGTCGTAGTGCGACCACCGCCTGCGACCGTTCCAAGCCGCGCGGTTTCGCATTACATTAGGACACAATTATTCTAATATAAATATCTCGGCGAGTATTTACCCCCCTTTTAAATAAAAGCCATCATTGTAATCCTTACCATATAACCTTTCGAACGGGGGGTCAAGTGCCGTCAGAAATAACACAAACCGAAACAATCATATATTTACTGTCTTTAATACTCACCGCTTGGCCTAAGATTCTAAATTTCATATCCACAAGATCTTGAATATCTCTTGAACTTTTTGTAATTTGCGGACGGCTATATGCGTAAAATGCTCTTTGTATTCAAGCGCTTTCGTGTACAAAATTTCGTTTGAGTACGGCGAGTAGAAATATTTATTTTGACTTTTTCAAAATGTCGGGTTTTACTCTCACGCATCACAGTCGCGTACATTGCGCAATAATCGGCCAATAAGAAGGCTCCTGTGGCCGGGATGACGTCAAACTCACGCGTGTAGGTGCAATTTGACCTTCCGAATCCATTTCTGGCCTTTCCAGGGTCATACGATACAAACATCGCATTGTTTTGATGGTTTTCAGTCGTATTTCCGGTTGGGATTAACTCACTTCGAGCTCACAGTCGGACAAGAAATGGAAATATATTGATAAAAGATACAGATTTGAAGATACAGGTGTGCAAATAACACTGTAGATAGTGTTTTTGATGGGGATTCGAACAAGACTATTACAAAGACGATATGTTAGAAGGGGCCAAAGTTATTTTCGGCGAAAGGTATGGCTTAGTCTATTTTTGTTCAGACAATTGCGTAATTTGATACAATATGATCATATTTGACTTCAAAGGCCCATAAATCGTTACAATGTTGATAATGACTAAAACTATAGTGAGGAATTAGTTGAATCTTTTATTTCTGAATCGAATGGTGGTATTTCTGTCTTCATAGCATGCACTGAACCGAAGATATGAAAACACAAAGCCATCACCCGCTCGCGGATGAATGAATTGGGCTGGGTCCGCAAAGAGAACATCAGCCAAATGAGCAAATCACTTTTTTAACACAATTTATGGTAAAATGAAGCAACATGTAATAGTAAAATATCCAAATGGCCATTCCGCCACGGATCACTGATTAAGCATTGGGGAAAAGGAAGGTCCATTGTTTCCAAATGAAACACGGAAATGGATCCGCAGCAGAAAGCCACAAGGATGGGAAACAGAAGGGTGGGAGGATGGGAAACAGAAGGGTGGGAGGGTGGGCGTTTTTACAACACACAAGAGTAAACAACACCCTGACGCAGCCCCCTCCTTCTCGCCCCCCCCCGCCCCCTTTTCCGGTCCTAATTTCTTTATCTTGCACTTTCTCTGTCTTGGCGATCAGCACAGAAAGAGCAGTTACAACCTGTAAACTAGGGTTTTATGCATTGTACATCATTATTTATTCATAAAACAACGTTAATTACTCAAATTCCATTAGTTAATCAGCTTCCGCGGCGTGTTTGGCCAATTTGAATAGTAAAATATCCAAATGGCCATTCCGCCACGGATCACTGATTAAGCATTGGGGAAAAGGAAGGTCCATTGTTTCCAAATGAAGCACGGAAATGAATTCCTCCGCAGTTCAGTTACTACTCGCTCCCAACACTGCATTTCCCCCCATATACCCAAACCCCCATTCTCATATACCCAAACCCCCATTCTCATATACCAAACCCCATTCTCATATACCTAAACTCCCATTCTCATATACCAAACCCTCATTCTCATATACCCAAACTCCCATTCTCATATACCCAAGCCGCCATTCTCATATACCAAACCCCCCTGCTCAAATACCCTACAACCCCGCCGATTCGCATGTGCCACACACACAAACCAAACTATAATCGATTAAGCAAACAAACCGGCAATGGACAGTATGAAAAAAAATGCAAGTGAAAAGCGATAGGTGGACTAGCATGGTCAAGCGACAATGAACGCAGAGAATAACCCGGAACTGATGCCACAGGTCTGGTCCCCGGGAGAAACTTCCACCCAATGACTCGCTTCTTAAGACGCTCAGAAGCTGCTAACGGAACAAAGTTTAGCGAATAGCGAGAGAAAAGATGAATAGAGAAGTAAATCCCCAAAGCACCCCCGGAAGGACCAGAAAAGGGCAACAGTCCCGGCACAACTGCTAGAGTCGAACACAAAGAGCTTTAGATAGCCCTGGGAAAGTTGACCCCCACCAACCAAGAAAAAGAAAAAAGAACCCAAGAAATGCAAACGAAAACCAGCGAACGAGCTCAAACACAAGATCAGTAACTTCATACACACTCGAAAAACATATATTGCCCAAGAATTGGGTGATTCGCGTATGGCAAGGAAGGTATACTGTTCTGAATCGCCAAAACATTGGCCCTTGTCAGTCCAATCCAAATGCAGTAAGCGCGTGCGCTCGGTCTCAAGCAATCATGTATTGCGAGATGCACCTCTTGCATTTGCAATGTTCGTGCTCAATCCCAAGCAATCATGGATTGGGTCTATTGGGAGATGCATTTCTCTGCTTGCCCAAACATATGAGCAACTGACCACTAAACAAATTCCGTAACTGCAAGACGCCGCTCCCGCGCATGCACTAAACTCATTGACAAATGATTTCCAAATTCCAATTCAATGGCTGCCATGGTTCGTCCCAAGCAAACATGTATTGTAAAATGCAAGCCTCTCATTCGCGAAAACCTGAACCTGTTTTTTCCAATCCTAAGTCAGTAGCGACTCTTACTCGGTCACAAGCAATCCTATAATTGCGAGATGCCCTTCGCCCATACACCAAACTCATTGGCCACTTTGCCTTAAAGCCAAATTCAGTAGCTACTCGTGCTCGGTAACAAGCAATCATACAATTGCGAGATGCACTTTTAATTTCGTATACGCCAAACACATTGTCATTGGCCACATTGCCTTAAATCCAAATGCACTGAGCTAATCATGGTGGGTTTGAAGCACACCTGCATTGGAAGATGCACATTGCTGATACGCCAAACACATTGGTCACGGTACCTTAAAACCAAATTCAGTAACGAATCGTGCTCGGTCGCAAGTATAATCATGCATTGCGAAATGCACCTCTCTCATACGCCAAACACATTGGCAACTTTGTTTTAAAATCCAAATTTAGTAGCTACTCGTGCTCGGTTTCCAGCACTCATGAAATTGCGAGATGCACTGCTCTTACAAACCAAAAACATTGACCACTATACCTTAAATCCAAATGCAGTAGCTAATCGTGCTCGGTCACTCAAGCAACCATGTATTGTTGGATGCAATCATTGCCTACGCGAAACACATGAGCCTGTCCTTTGAATCCCAAGTCAATAACTACTCAAGCTCGGTCACAAGCAATCATACAAGTGCGAGATGCACTTCTCTTACACGCCAAACACATTGGCCACTTTGCCTTAAATCCAAATTCATTGAGCTAATCGTGCTCGGTTTGAAGCAAACATGCATCGCAAGATGCACATTGCTCATACGCCAAGCACATTGGCCACTGTGACTTAAATCCAAATTCAGTAGCTAGTCGTGCTCGGTCGCAAGCAATCATGCATTGCGAGATGCACCTCTCTCATACGCCAACCACATTGACAAAGTTGTTTTAAACTCCAAATTCAGTAGCTACTCGTGCTCGGTCGCAAGCAATCATGCATTGCGAGATGCACCTCTCTCATACGCCAACCACATTAGCAAAGTTGTTTTAAAATCCAAATTCAGTAGCTACTCGTGCTCGGTCGCCAGCAATCATGTAATTGCGAGATGCACGTCTCTCATACGCCAAACACATTGGCCAATTTATGTAAAATACAAATTCAGTAGCTACTCGTGCTCGGTCTCAAGCAATCATGTAATAGGCCTACTCTGGGACCTTAACTCGCCTTAACTCGCCCTAACTCGCCTTATCTCGCAATAGAAATTGATCGAATTTTGCTTAACTCGCCCAATCTCGCCTTATCTCGCAATGAGAAGTGGACAGAATTTTGCTTAACTCGCCTAAACTCGCCCTATTTTGCAATAAAAACCGGCACAG